GTAACTTAATGGGAAGTATATTAACTTGGACATTGCATGCTATCATTTCCAGCCCCAGCAACAGTCAGTTTATTTGAGGGGGGAGCAGCTGTATAAGTGACAGTGTAGTTAACAGAGCCGAATGAATAATTCAGAGCAAATAATTCAGCTGATGAATTTTCCCTATGCTGATTTCATGGGGCTTCTTACATGCTTGAAATGAAGCAAATGTTTTAATGGATCAGGGCTTTTTTCTCCTTACAAAGAGCTATTGGAAAGTCAAGGAACTGAATTCTGGACTGATTTACACTCAACACCACTCCCCTGACTTCCACAGGGTGACCCTGATTGGAAATCCTTGCAGAATTTGGCCATATGCAAAACTGTCAATGAAATCAAATAGAAGTAGGCATGAAAGATGCCTGACTGGAGGTGGGCAGATGAAATTATCTCCAGAATTTCTCAGGCCTGCTGAATTATCAGTCCTCACAGGAGAATGATGCTTCTCTTCTCAAGTAATCCTCTGAATCAATCTCGCTTTCCCGAGGATCATTTCAATCCTCAGTGAGGCCGACAAACTCTTCAGGACACTAGGCAAGGTGGAGTGGAGGGGGGAGGGGAGCTCTGTGCCCCCAGAAAGGGTGGGGCCTTGGGTGGAAGGGGAGGGGCTAGAACAAGCTTCCATCAGTCAGCCTCAGCCCTGCCTGGAGCATGCCACCTGGGGCTCCAGCAGTGATTTAAAGGCCTGGGGAATCCAGCTGCTACCACTGCCACAATAGCAGCATCAGTGGTGCCTGGGAGCCCCAGGCCAATTTCCATCCAGCACAAAGGACCTAAGCACTTTACTACTGGCAGCCTCCTGATATCCTTGTGTTGTATCCTCCATCTTTCTTGCCAGGATGACACCTTTTAGACACGGGGTAATCTAGGCCACGCTTAAGTGACGTAGGAGCCTTATAGCTCCACTTTTAAAAGTTACTTGTGCACTTAAGAACCAAAGTCTTATTGAATGCCAATGGGTCCTGGGCTTCTAAGTCACTTAAGCCTGGTCTACACTTAACAAATGTCAGTAAGGAGGGTGATTTTTAGACTGCACTGGGGTGGGAGGCAACACAGAAAAGATCAGTCTAGAAATGGCTTGGCTGCTTTACTCACTGGCTACCATCCTAACACACTGAGTTGTCTGGTTAAATTACATCACTTAAGCACACAAATGGCACAGACAATATGTACAACAAAATAACAGAAGCCACTATGTTTAACATCAAGAAACTAAGCCAAAGTACTTAAGACAGGTTGTGTGAAAGGCTTTAACCATATCTCAGATTGTGTCTAAAGCATATGTGCTTCTTATGGTGTAAACAGATGTGTGTGGAGGTGTCATTCTTGTGAAATGACAGATACTCCCGTATTCATTGGCAGCAGGGGTTCTCAGAGAGCATTTTCAGACATGTCTAACCCCTTCTGACAATAATGTGGCCTCCTTGGACAATGACAGATGTCATTTTGCTGCGTGCCAATAATCACCCACAATTTCATGGTGACAGCTGGGGCACAGCTTGGATCATCCTACTTCAGAAAACCGAAGCTCCTAAACACTTGAGTTAAAAAATATTCTGACTCAATTCTTAATCTACCAGAGTTGCCCTATGACAAGTACTTCCTAGGTCACATGCTAGAGAGCAGAGCTAGACTTGTGGTGCAATATACTGTACAACAGGAAACTACCACATTGGGCCTGACCAATGAGCCCCTCAGCTGATACTATGAAATTTAAATTTCACCCTAAGTAGCAAGATACTGTAACCACACACTTCAGATTTAGATATTTATTCAGGTTACCATAGAAAGTGTCGGTGAATGGAACGACAATAGTTCCCCGCCTTTGCTAATAGTTTTATTGTACATATAAATAAGGCATCATGATAACACTAAAAACAACGGATGCATGTGCAGGACAATATGTTACATTGGCTGGTTTATTGGTAGTCTAGAAGTAAGTAAATAATAAACTCTCTATTTTGGATGGAACAAATGAATATTTTGTTGGATTACAGAAGGTCAGACCTGATAGATGGAAGGATGGTCTATTTTTTGGCTAATGGACCTGGACAGCGTCCTTTTTAAAATGTAATTTCATTATTTGAAACAGCTAACATATGATACTCTGAATTCAAGATACGCAGACTTTCTAATGGACAGGAGTGTTCCTGTCAGACACGCCCACTCTTTAGCATAAAAGACAGGGGCTGATGACATCGCTGAAACCACAAGTACAAAAAGATGTCCACTCTTGAATAGGGAATCTGTGGCAGAGCTAAAAAAGAGAACTCATGGCTCCTGACTCCCAGCCCTGTGTGAGACTCATAAAACCCTCCTGCTTCCTCCCCATTAAATCTCACCTTGCCACCTGTCGGAAAACGAAACAAGACAAAACCCTGTTAAATTTGCTGTGTGGAATGCTCCTACACTGGGCAAAGAGACTTAAAGGGTATTTTTAAACTTATGTGCTGCTATAATCAGGGCTGGTGACAGACTTCGCTGGGCCCTGGGCAATGTGGGGAGGAGGGGCTTGTTCGAGGGCACCCTGAAAGGGATGGGGCCTCAGGCAGAAGGGGCGAGGCTTGGGGCAGCAAGCCCTCAGTGCCACCAGGACTGCACTCTGCCTCTCCCAGCCAGCCTTTAGTGTCACCTGCACCCCACTGCATGGCGTTCTGGCAGTGATTTAAAGGGCCTGGGGCTCCGGCCATTGCTGCTGCTGCTGTGGTGGTGGCCAGGAGCACGGGGCCCTTTTAAATTGCCAGGCCCCTGGGCAACTGCCCCCTTTGTCTCCCTCATCCCCCCATTGGCAGCCCTGGCTATGATACTCACTTTGTGGGCCTCTTTCACCCCAGCCTGCAGACAGCAATATGAAACAATGTCTGGGAGCCCCTTATCTCCTCAGCGAGATGCTTTCCCATCCCGTGTCCTGCCTGTTCGTTAGGGCTTGTGCACCTGACGAGCTAGTAAGTAGTCAGGGAATGGAGCTGATCAATTTGCTGCACTTGTTCAAAGGACGGAGTGTTTCCCCCAGGCTGCAGGCTCTAGAGAGTGGGAGTGACATTGTGAACCTAAGCCCATCCTTAGGACCTATTTATAAACAGGAGAAAGTCAAAATTAATGGTTTAAAATAAAACCAAGACCAGGTCAGAGTATAAACACGGAGTGGGGAGGGGATAAGCTTTTCCTCAAAGGGAATTTAAAAAAGAGAGTAAGTGAGAAAGTGCATAATAAAGGGGAGAGTCATTAAGTATAACTGGCCAGTTTTGGATGGTGCAAATCAACAAAGGTCCACTGATTTCCGAGGAGCTATGATGATTTATGCCAGCTGAGAACATAGGCCAGTAATCATAAAGGGAGAAGGAAAATAGTGAGTGGAAACATAGCAAAGGTGAGAAATCCACTTATTCACACATTTGATGGATAATCCACTAACAACAGCTGATGCTGGTAAACAGATAAAGAATATCGTTGACATGGCATTTAAAGTACGACCAGTATTGCTTTGCGCATCGTCCTGAGGAATATGACACTGAATCTTTACTTTTACATGTAGCCCCTTGTCTGGTGACTGCTGGGGAGGATTACACTCATTGTATTGAAAATAAACCTCGACGCAGGGATGAGACACTTTCGCTATGATTGACCTTCAGCAATTTGTCCCATTGGAACTGAAGCTAGTAATTGCTGCAATTTCTGTCTCTAAGTGTCCTTTCTCTTCCTTCCAAACAGGTTGCACAGTCACTATGAACAATGGCCCAGCTATACTACGGGAGGAGGGGCTTGTTCGAGGGCACCCTGAAAGGGATGGGGCCTCAGGCAGAAGGGGCGAGGCTTGGGGCAGCAAGCCCTCAGTGCCACCAGGACTGCACTCTGCCTCTCCCAGCCAGCCTTTAGTGTCACCTGCACCCCACTGCATGGCGTTCTGGCAGTGATTTAAAGGGCCTGGGGCTCCGGCCATTGCTGCTGCTGCTGTGGTGGTGGCCAGGAGCACGGGGCCCTTTTAAATTGCCAGGCCCCTGGGCAACTGCCCCCTTTGTCTCCCTCATCCCCCCATTGGCAGCCCTGGCTATGATACTCACTTTGTGGGCCTCTTTCACCCCAGCCTGCAGACAGCAATATGAAACAATGTCTGGGAGCCCCTTATCTCCTCAGCGAGATGCTTTCCCATCCCGTGTCCTGCCTGTTCGTTAGGGCTTGTGCACCTGACGAGCTAGTAAGTAGTCAGGGAATGGAGCTGATCAATTTGCTGCACTTGTTCAAAGGACGGAGTGTTTCCCCCAGGCTGCAGGCTCTAGAGAGTGGGAGTGACATTGTGAACCTAAGCCCATCCTTAGGACCTATTTATAAACAGGAGAAAGTCAAAATTAATGGTTTAAAATAAAACCAAGACCAGGTCAGAGTATAAACACGGAGTGGGGAGGGGATAAGCTTTTCCTCAAAGGGAATTTAAAAAAGAGAGTAAGTGAGAAAGTGCATAATAAAGGGGAGAGTCATTAAGTATAACTGGCCAGTTTTGGATGGTGCAAATCAACAAAGGTCCACTGATTTCCGAGGAGCTATGATGATTTATGCCAGCTGAGAACATAGGCCAGTAATCATAAAGGGAGAAGGAAAATAGTGAGTGGAAACATAGCAAAGGTGAGAAATCCACTTATTCACACATTTGATGGATAATCCACTAACAACAGCTGATGCTGGTAAACAGATAAAGAATATCGTTGACATGGCATTTAAAGTACGACCAGTATTGCTTTGCGCATCGTCCTGAGGAATATGACACTGAATCTTTACTTTTACATGTAGCCCCTTGTCTGGTGACTGCTGGGGAGGATTACACTCATTGTATTGAAAATAAACCTCGACGCAGGGATGAGACACTTTCGCTATGATTGACCTTCAGCAATTTGTCCCATTGGAACTGAAGCTAGTAATTGCTGCAATTTCTGTCTCTAAGTGTCCTTTCTCTTCCTTCCAAACAGGTTGCACAGTCACTATGAACAATGGCCCAGCTATACTACAAAAAGGTAAACTATTCACCTTACAGAGACCGGATCCCATTGCAGATTGTGCGAGCGGAGGCAGAGCTCTCCCAGGAAGAGAAGGCCTATCTCATTGCTGTGGAGAAGGGGGACTATGCCAGTGTGAAGCATGCCTTACAAGAGGCTGAAATCTATTACAACATCAACATTAACTGCATGGATCCTCTCGGACGCAGTGCCCTTTTAATAGCCATAGAGAATGAAAACCTGGAGATCATGGAGTTACTGCTGAGCCACAGTATCTACGTGGGAGATGCTCTGCTGTATGCAATACGGAAGGAGGTGGTAGGGGCAGTGGAACTGCTTCTGAATTACAGGAAGCCAAGCGGTGAAAAGCAGGTTAGTCAAATATTCAGGCATGTAAGTTGATATTAGCTCATGACTTGGTAAGAGATACCAGCTGATCGGAGGCTCCAGTGGGTCTGGTCTGGTCATAGACTCACCTGGAGAAGGTCTGGTTATTCCTTGAATATGACATCAGCTTGGAAAATCCAGAGCACTTTCTCCTCTGATTCAGTTCTGAGCCAGTGTCCCAGAACAGTTTTGGGAGATGGTGTGGGGATACTGTGCTGCTGGCCATCCTGTCCTACACAGGAAACACAAAATGAAGATCTGAGCACGAGATGCTCTGGCCCTTTTTGTGCCAGCCCTGGTCAATTTCCAATCTAAATTATTGGATTCTGTCTTACTTAATTTCCCCCCGCACTTTTATTTTCAGATTGTATTAATTTTCTGTTCCCAACCTCATGATGTGTGCAAAGTGATTTATAGGTAGATAGATACTGGTGTAGCAATTTAATATTGCCTTTTTGAATTAAATTCCAGTATATAAATTGAAGCTACTGTTTTATGGATGTTAATAAATGGAATCACATGTTCAAGACAGACCCCAAGAGTGCAAATACTGGCCCATTGATTTCCACTTTTACACATGTGTGAGAGCTGTCATGGATTGGCACAGCATGGCCACACCAGCAAGCTGGCAATCGAACTGCAGACCACCCGAGCTAGGAGCATGGGTTGCTACAGTTTGAAATAAAGTACTGTACTTATGGGAGATAATAATTCATTTCTTCTGTGGTTGGGCAAAGGAGGGACACACCAGTGGGTTATGCATGTGCTTAGCATAATCACATGGGCAGTCCCACTGAAGTCAATGGGACTGGTCATGTGCTTAAAATTAAGCACATGCAAAAGTGTCTACAAGATTGAGACCTATGTCTTTGCCACATGAAGGTTACCTATTTTACTGCACAATGTTTTCCCCACATCTTCATGTACAAAAAAGGTAGCTGATAAATGAGCTGATTTGTGTACATAGTGTTAGACCCACTGTTGATTTTTGCCTGTCCTTTGGTTAGAACCTCTATCTACCTACCTACCTATCCATTTCAGTACCTAATTTCTGTTCTGAAATCCACAGGAACATGTTTCCTGTTGTATAAAAGAATTAAGGGATTAATGTGATTTAACCCTAAAACAGTTATTTTTCTTTAACAAGACTAACCCTACTGTGCACCTTTTTCAGAATAGTTCTAAATTATGCAAAGCAACCAATGAGGAAATATTCCAGATTATCGCAAATAACTTTGAAGGCTGTCCCACTAACAATTCAGAAAAAATAGCATTCCAGAAATCCCTTGAATACTAACTAGAAATATGTTGCTGGCAGATTAGCTATCTATCTATCTAGCTAGCTAGCTAGCTAGCTAGATAGATAGGATAATTTTCTGACAGTTAAATTGAAATACTACTTTTCTATTTTATCCTGATGTTCGTGTGTAGTCTTTTCTCACTGTTCTAGAAAGACTAGTTACCTTGTTCAGAGATATACCAGAATGACAGAAGGTAGCACAGAACTAAAGATAAACTTTACTGAAAGGGACTTCAGTCTTGTGGGAAAATGCTGAAGTTAAATGCATGTACTTTTGAATTATCATGAAAAGAAAGCGTTGTGATTTTACATGGACTTCAATAAGTTGTCTTGTAAACCAGAACTTTTTATTCCTAGTGATTTAAGTTGCTGTTTTAAGTTGACATAGCTCCACTGAGGTTAATGGAGCTATGCTGATTGACATCAGCTGGAGATTGAACCCAACATCTTGGCTGTGTCTAAACTGGCCAGTTTTTCTGGAAAATCAGCAGCTTTTCCGGAAAAACTTGCCAACTGTCTACACTGGCCGCTTGAATTTCCGCAAAAGCACTGACTTCCTACTGTGAGAAATCAGTGCTTTTTGCGGAAATACTATGCTGCTCCCGTTCGGGCAAAAGTCTTTTTCCGAAAGACTTTTGCGCAAAAGGGCCAGTGTAGACAGCAGAGATTTCTTTTCTGCAAAAACGCCCCGATCGCGAAAATGGCAATCGGGGCTTTTTTTGCAGAAAAGCGCGTCTAGATTGGCCACGGACGCTTTTCCACAAAAAGTGCTTTTGTGGAAAAGCGTCCTGCCAATCTAGACGCTCTTTTCTGAAAATGCTTTTAACGGAAAACTTTTCTGTTAAAAGCATTTCCGGAAAATCATGCCAGTGTAGACGTAGCTCTTTAGTTTAGTGCTACATTTCAAAGCACTAAATTGTCCCCAACTCTATCTTCTCCTTCTACATTGGCATTTATATTTGTGTGTGTGCGCGTGTTCCATTAATGACAGTGGGAACTGTGCATGTCTGTTAACGAAAACCAAATTTCATCCTGATATAACAGTTACAATTTACACAGATCAGAGCGGTAGCCATGTTAGTCTGAATCTGCAAAAGCGATGAGGAGTCCTGTGGCACCTTATAGACTAACTGAAGTGTAGGAGCATAAGCTTTCGTGGGCAAAGACCCACTTCGTCAGATGCACTTCGTCGATTTTACACAGAGATTTGCAAAATGTTCCCAATCAAATCCCCAAACACACAAAATACACCTGGCTCCAGTGAATCAGATCCAGATGGCACAAAATCAGATTCATGGCCAGATTCGTCCCCTTTCCTCAAGGGCAGAAGGAGAGCAGGATTGCCTATTAAGCTTGCAACTCTGCATTAAGACAACGAGTGTCACCAAAACTGGTAGAATCACTGCTGCGGTCAGAAAGGAATTTTATGTCCAGTGCACAGTTGGCCAGATGTATTCTGGGTTGTTTTTTGGGTGTGGTTTGCTTTCCTCTAAAGCATCAGACATTGGCCATGGCTGGAGACAAGACACAGTGCCGTGTAGATAGTGCTTGTGTTCATGTAACAATCTGCTCAAGCAGTAGTGTAGACCTGCCCTCTAATATATAACTGGTGCATCTTGCTTATATGCTCAGGGTCAAAATTATCCCCAGAATTTAGTTCAGGAAGGAATTTTCCCTAGGACAGAGTGGCAGAACTGTGTGTGGGAGGGCAGTTTCCTAGCTCTGCAGCATAGAGCATAAATGAATTGCCATTAGTATCATTGGGGAGTGTCTCACCTTAACAGTTCCCTGCCATTGCAGGTGACTCAGACATTAGGAATAGCTCAGTCTCTCCCTGCAGTATGCCACAGTTTAGTTTCCCGAGGACTGCAGTGCTTCGGTCTAACTCGGTTACGTCTAGGAACAGGGAATGTAAACCATGGCGACAGGACGGGGAACTCTATCCTGGGAAGCAGTGACTGAAAAGACTGAACATGAAACTCCCAGTGTGATGCTGTGGCCAAAACAGCTAGTGCAATCCTCCCATGCATAAGCAGGAGAATGTCGAGTAGTAGCGGAGAAGTGGTTTTACCTCTGTATTTGGCACAGGTGTGATGGCTCCTGGCATCCCATGTCAAGTTCTGGTGCCCACAATTCAAGAAAGAAGTTGATAAATTTGAGAGGGTTTAGAGAAGAAGCCAAAAGAATGATTAAAAGATTAGAAAAATCTGCCTTATAGTGCAAGACTTAAGGAGCGCCATCTATTTAGTATTTAACAAATACTTGCTAATGGGCTCTTCAATCTAGCAGAGAAAGGTCTAACCCAATTCAATGGGTGGAAGTTGAAGCTAGACACATTCAGACTGGAAATAAGGTGTAAATTACTCCTTATTTCCAGTCTGAAATAACGAGTAATTAATTATTGGAAAGTAATTAATGATTGGAACAATTTACTGAAGGTCAAAGCAGGGTCTTCCTCATTGGCCATTTTAAAATCAAGATTGGATGTTTTTCTAAAACCTCTGCTCTAGGAATTCTATTGGGGAAATTCTATGACCTGTGTTATACAGGAGGTCAGACAAAATGACACAATTATCCTTTCTGGCTTTAGAACCTATAAACACACGGGATGAAATGTAACATACAGGAGGCCAGGCAAGATGATCTAGTGATCCCTCCTGGCCTTCAACATCCTGACAAAACATAGGTTTGTCACAAGCCCAGATTCATTCCTATTTTGAGCACCCCTAGGTCAGCATAAGAACTTATGTACAACTCAGGATTTATTAACCCTACCATCTCAGAATTTCAGGTTGTTCTGACGGGGTTCAGAGCCTTCTGTAGATCTCATTGGAAGTTTCCACATAGAAGGCTGCAGGATTGGGTTCTTAGCTCTTCATGACTCTCCATATGAAAATAAAGAATTGGTATACTATGCCTTTCATGTACAGTGTTACTGCATAAAATGAAAAAAGTGCCTAGTTAAGCACAGGAAGGACACGACTTACTGCATCAACCCACAAAGCTAATCCCAGAGCAGCCTGTGTCAGAACTCAGACTCCTTATATTAGCCCCAGGACAGTGCCAATGCACGTTCTCCATGATCCTTACTAGATCCTTCCTGGGAAAAGTCCTGAGGTGGCTCCCCATCAAATTTCTTTTAGAGTACCCTATAAATCTTTTTAGCACAGAACAGCAACTTAAGTTGAATTACATGCCTCTATATGCACATATCCAGGTCCTTCTGGGCTGTCATTACTATCCTGGCAGTGTCCTCTCATTCATGCTAAGGAAAAATAAAAATATTGTCCCTTTCTAACTGAACAGTTCCTGTAATTCAGGGTTTGCAGAGTGGTTTCTGCTTGGCTGAGAAATCAGTGACATACACTCAGGTTATTTTCTGAGTGCAATCTGTTTACTTGTACACAAGGGTTTGTTTCCCTGGACAGTGGCAGGCACAAGTCTGCATTTGGGCAGCACTTTTTTGCAAAAAACTGAAGTCAGGCCTGTTCCACAGAGAGGCTTTGTTTACTCAGCTTCTCTCCAGGGGCCAGAGAGAGAGCTCTGAAGCTCTGACCGCTCACTTATAGCTGCTTGACACACAGCCTTGTTCCAGCCCCTGAGTTATGAGCTTTGAAAACCCTCTTAGCTCCACACTATCTTGACACCTCTCTGTGGGCATCAGTTGTTTGGCCCTATAACAGAG